ACTGCGCCTGGCCAAATTATCAGTGTTTAAATTTAAATAAAATTTAAAAATTCATTCCTCAGCTGCACTGGCCACATTTCAAGTGCTGGGCAGCCACACGCGGCCCGTGGCTACTGGATGGGACAGCACATTCAAAACCATGATCCTGTTTTATCTTCAAAGCATTTATCACTATCTGACCAGCTTCTCCAACATTGCGCCCTTCTTGCTCTCATATCATGTGTCTTATTTTCTTCTTATTCCTTCTGATCTGAAATGATCTCATTTGTGTGTGTGTGTGTGTGTGTTTCCCTGGTGACTGGTTGTCTTCCCTGGCAGAATATGAGCCCACCCCAGCTGGTGCTTCACTGGTCGTGTTCACAGTGTATCTCCAGGGACAGGTTCATAAGGGCACTAGGAGGAAGTTCTGAACGAAGAGATGTGATGTTCACACTAAGACCTGAAAGATGTTAGTAAGTGGACAGGGAGAAAGGTCGTTAGACAAAGAGGAGTGTAGGTGGCATCAGTTACCAGGGGAGGAAATGTTGATTCAGGACTGAGAGGCAAAGGGACCTGGCGAGAGGATGGGGTCCCAGAAGGTGGTTTAAGGACCGGTGTGGACACACACAGTTCTGTTGTCAGCCCAGTGGAGGGGCCTCACGGGGAGCTGTTGGGAGTCAGATTGTCAGCTTTTGGATTTACCAGCTGTGGGTGGCAGTGGGCACGTAACTCAGCATCTCGCTGCCTCAGTTTTCCTCATCTGTAAAGTGGGGATAATAACATTTACCTCATAAAGTTCCTACGAGGATTCGATGATTGACCCATCAGATGCTTAGCACAGGGCCCAGCACTCAGTACATGTTCACTGTCAGGAAGACAGGGAGGCCTCACTGGCAGCATCAGGACGTAGGACATCAGGACATACACCGTGGCTCTCAGGAAAAGGAAAGACACGCTCTCCCAGGTGTACAGGATCGATTCTAAACCTCATGGGACCCTGCATCGTTCGCTCCCTCCTTCATTCACTTGTTCGTGCATGTACTCAGTAGTGTCATAAGCGGACTGCTCGGATCGGACCTGAATTAGCCTCACCCACTCTTCTCCTACACTGTCCCTCCCCAGGGCACATTCGCCTCCCAGGTGACGCTGGAGGGGGACAAGTTGAAAGTGGAGCGGGAGATCGACGGGGGCCTGGAGACCCTGCGCCTGAAGCTGCCAGCTGTGGTGACAGCTGACCTGAGGCTCAACGAGCCCCGTTATGCCACGCTGCCCAACATCATGGTGAGCCCCTGGCCAGCAGGCACTGAGGGCCTGGGATTGGCAAGCACATTGCCAGCCCAGTGCCCCCTGGTGGTCGCATCGGGGGAGGGAAGGATCCAAGGGAGGTCTCGTACGCTCACCTGGAGTTTGGCTGATAGAGAGGGTTTGCTGGGTCATCTCTGCCAATGCTGAGAGTTCACGGGGGCTGCTTTGGCTAGCAGGGAGGGCTTGCTGGTATCTAGGCCAGTAGGAAGGCTTCGCTGGGTAGCAGACATTGTTCCCTTTGTCATTCCAGCCAGTGGAACAAGTTCACTGGGTCATCTTGGTTCATTAGGGAGGGTCCCCTTGGTGATTTTTGCCAATGCGAAGTTATCGTGTAGATCATCTTGGCTAACTAGGAAGGGTGCATGGGGTCTCTTGGCTAACAGGTAGAGTTCACTAATCATCATGGCCAGTAGGAGGGGTTCGCTGGGTCATCTTGGCCAATATTAACAGTTTAGTGAGTCATCTCAGACAATGGAGAGTATTCAGTGGGTCATTTCAACCAACAGGGAGAGTTCATTGGATCATCTCAGCCAATGGGGAAGGTTCAATGAGTCATTTCAGCCATTACAGAGTGTTCACTACATCATCTCAGCCTATAGGGAGGGTTCATTGCATCATCTCAGCCTATAGGGAGGATTCAGCGCATCATCTCAGCCTATAGGGAGGGTTTGGTGCATCGTCTCAAACTATAGGGAGGGCTCGGGGCATCGTCTCAGCCTATAGGGAGGGCTCAGGGCATCGTCTCAGCCTATAGGGAGGGCTCAGGGCATCGTCTCAGCCTATAGGGAGGGCTCAGCGCATCGTCTCAGCCTATAGGGAGGGCTCAGCGCATCGTCTCAGCCTATAGGGAGGGCTCAGCGCATCGTCTCAGCCTATAGGGAGGGCTCAGCGCATCGTCTCAGCCTATAGGGAGGGTTCAACGCATCGTCTCAGCCTATAGGGAGGGCTCAGCGCATCGTCTCAGCCTATTGGGAGGGTTCAGCACATCGTCTCAGCCTATAGGGAGGGCTCAGCGCATCGTCTCAGCCTATTGGGAGGGTTCAGCGCATCGTCTCAGCCTATAGGGAGGGCTCAGCGCATCGTCTCAGCCTATAGGGAGGGCTCAGGGCATCGTCTCAGCCTATAGGGAGAGTTCATTGGATCATCTCAGCCAATGGGGAAGGTTCAGCGCATCATCTCAGCCTATTGGGAGGGTTCAGCGCATCATCTCAGCCTATAGGGAGTGTTCAGTGCATCGTCTCAGCCTATTGGGAGGGTTCAGTGCATCGTCTCAGCCTATAGGGAGGGCTCAGTGCATCGTCTCAGCCTATAGGGAGGGCTCAGTGCATCGTCTCAGCCTATAGGGAGGGCTCAGGGTATCATCTCAGCCTATTGGGAGCCTTCAGCATGTCATCTCAACCAAAAGTCCAGAGTCATTACTACCAAAAGGATGGGTTTGCCAGTCTGTTGCAGCCCGTGAAGGGCTTCCTGCATTGGTTACCTAAAGGAGGACTGCTGCAATAGTTGGGCCTCCCAGGGCCTCCAAGCCAGCAGGAGTTTTCCACACCAGGTGTGGCCCTGTGAGAAGTTTTGTGTGTCCTGGCCAGTCGGTGGGTCCAGAGGGTTCAGCCCATGGGACTGGTCTGCAGGCATGGCACCCACGGGAAGGAGGTGGCAGGAGGGTGGCAGGGGTTCCACAGCCCTGTGAACAATGGCTTCCCATGTGCAGAAAGCCAAGAAGAAGAAGATCGAGGTGATCAAGCCTGGGGACCTGGGCGTGGACCTGACCTCCAAGCTCTCCGTGATCAGCGTGGAGGACCCGCCCCAGCGCACGGCCGGCGTCAAGGTGGAAACCACTGAGGACCTAGTGGCCAAGCTGAAGGAGATCGGGCGGATTTGAGCCCCTCCCAGAGATGGCAATAAAACTGACTCTCAACGTCTATCTCTGTTAACTCATTTCCTAGAGACCCATTATTTGGTTCATTCAACATTTACTTGAGTCTTTTGTGTGCCAGGCCCTGTGGATCCAGTCCCTGCCCACGAGGAGCCTCTGTGTTGATGCAAGGGACAATGAGGACAAAGGCAGCTGTAATTCGGGGTGAAGTATGCTAGACGTGGAGGCACACTGGGCCCCTGGGAACCCAACTGGGGGAGCTGACCTGGCCCAGCCCGTGGGTCAGAGATTTCCCAGGGAGATGACTGCCACGTTGAGTGTTGGAACACAAATATCAGTGAGGTGGGTGAGAAGGGCTTTTATCCACAATATTTGCAGAACACTCAGGACACTCATTCTCTCTTGTGTCCCCAGTCTCAGCAGGGACACAGGAGAGAATAAGGCCAGAAGCTGTGGTTCTGGTGTGAGACAGAGACAAGCCACAGAGAATCGAAACTTAGTGTGGCGATGAACAGCCTGGGTCTAGAGTCAGATTAATTTTTTTTCAATTATATTTTTTTGAGACAGAGTCTTGCTCTATTGCCCAGGCTTGCACCATCACACCTGGCTAATTTTTGTATTTTTAGTAGAGACGGGGTTTCACCATGTTGTCTAGACTGGTCTTGAACTCCTGACCTCAAGTGATCCGCCCATCTCAGCCTCCCAAAGTGCTGTGATTACAAGCGTGAGCCACAGCGCCTGGCCTAATTTTTTGTTAAAAAAATTGTGTTCCATTCCTCTGGCCTTCTGACAGCATGTGATTTCATATGCTCACTCTCACCTTTGCCAGCTAGATCTTGGGTGAGTTCCTTCCTGTTTTTGAGTTTCAGTTGCCTCATCTGCAGATCAAAATAGTAACGGCATCATGTAGGGGTTAAGGGCATGGGTTCTGGGTCCCAGGGCCCTGGGTCAAATCCCACTGGACCCATTCCTGGCTCTAGGAGGATCTCAGATAGGCAACTACTCCCTGAGCCTCAGTTTCTTTCTCTATCAGGTGGAATTAGTGATACCTATATTCTGGTTGTCTGTTCTGGCATAACAAACCACCCCAAAACTTGGTGGCTTAAAACAACACTTGTTTATTATGCTCTTAAGTCTGGAATCTGGGCAGGGCTCAGCAGGGACAGCTTGTCTCTCCTCCGTGCAGGATCAGTTCAGGTGCCTCAAATGGGGCCAGGTTATTGACTTCCAAGAAGGCTCACCCACATGGCCAGCAAGCTGGCTGGGGCTGCTGACCAGGGGCCATGGTTCCCCTCCATGGGACTGCTGCGTTTCCTCCCAGTGTGGCGGCTGGGCTCCACGAGGGAGTGTCCTATGATACAGAAAGTGGCATATGCCGGCCTAGATGCAGACCCTGGCACAGGGTCACTTTCACGTCTTGGTCCAGCAGTCACAAAGCCTACTGAGATCCAAGGAGTGGGGAGATAGACCCCACATCTTAACAGGAGGATCCTCAAATGTGCAGCCCTCTTTAAGCTACATAATCTACTCCATGGAGCTTTGAAAGGTTAATTTATGTAGCACCCCCATAACCACACCTGCTAGATATATATTATTACCAGTGTTAGTCCGGGCACGGTGGCTCACGCCTGCAATCTCAGTACTTTGGGAGGCCGAGGTGGGTGGATCACTTGAGGTCAGGAACTCATGATAAGCCTGGCCAACACGGCGAAACCCCATCTCTACTAAAAATAACAAAAATTAGCTGGGTGTTGTGGTGTGTGCCTGTACTCCCAGCTGCTCCAGAGGCTGAGACGGGAGAATCACTCGAACCCGGGAGATGGAGCGTGCAGTGAGCTGAGGCACTCAGGGTGACAGAACGTGACTCCGTCTCAAAAAATACATATATTACCAATATTATTACTGGTGAGAACTGGGCCAAGGTAAGCTTAGAGGACTGGGAGCTGAGCAGAGGCCCTAAGCTCAGCATGGGATGGTGGGAAAAGCTATTAGAAGGAGTCAACGGTCTGACCATCCTGGTCTCAAGTCCAGCTTCTCCCTCTGGCTGTGCAACCTCCTGCAGGTCCCTTGACCTCTCTGAGCCTAAGTCCCCTGACCTGCAAAGTGAGTATAATGACACTCAGCTCATAGCGTGTTTAGAAGGGTTCAGCCTGATAACGCATAGGAAACATTTAGCATAGTTCCTGGCTCAAACTAAGTGGTAATTACTATGGTTCTTAATAAGGTGAGACCTGAAGGACAAGTTGTGGTTTAGCCAGGCTGGAGGGAGGTGGAGAGTGTGAGAGCATTCCAGGTAGAGGACTGGGAGGTGAGATGGGCGGGCAGGATGTTCAAGTGCTGGAGTAGGGAGGTGTGCATGGGTTTGCTGTGAAGCTTGGATGTCTCCAGAGGGCGCTGGGGAGCCAGGGAAGGGCTGTGAGCAGGGGAAGGCAGGTTGGGCTCTGGATGTAGAAGGACCCTGGCAGGGAGTGGAGGAGACTGGGCAGAGGAGGGAGACGGGGCAGGAATAGAAGACAGCGCCTGGCCAGTGAGAACTAGGGTGAGGAGGGTTGGACTCAGATTGACAGTGGTGATGGGGAGGGAGGAGGTTGGGAATGTTTCCCAGCATTTGCGAAGATGGTGAAGCCATCCCGGAGGTGTGAGGAAGTTTGGGTTAGAGGAAAGATTCTGAGTTTAGCGGGACACAGGCCACGTGAGGGCCTCGGGGATGCGGAAATGCAGCTCTGGTCTCAGGATAGAGGCCCTGGCAGGAGATAGCACCTGGAGACTTGGTTCTGAGAGAGCCGTGGGAGAGTTTGGAGCAGAGGAGGAGCAGGGTCAGGTGTATCTGAGGCTGCAGGCAAGACAGAGTGGAAGGGGCCAGGAGGCTGGGGAGGAGGAAGCCTGTTCTGAAGCTGTGGCCATCAGAGGTGGGGCTCTCAGAAAGGTCACCTCACCCTCCTCCAGGAAGTCTTCCTGGCTTTGTCCCACAAACTTGCTACCACATTTTTAGCTGGGAATGTTTTCTCCATCTGCCCCCTGGGGATGGGGAGTGCAGGGATCAGGCTGGGCCTCCCTGCAGATGGGACCAGCTGATGAAGAGAGTGGGGTGGGGTGGGCAGCTCAGCCACCACATCGGGGTTGGGGATCCTGGCCCCTCCCGCTGGGTCTGGCTCCCTTCCCCTCCCAGGAAGCTAAGCTACCAGTCCTGTTGGACTCGTCTGACCCAGGAGGGAAGGGTGCAGTCCTGGGTCTCTCTCCAGTGTCCTTTCAGTGAGGCCAGCACCATGGACACCCCACAGGCTCTGCCACTCTTCCTACTCCTGGGTAAGTTCCCTGCTCAGTCCCCTCCCCTCCAGTCCCCCTGAGCAGCCTCCCCCAACGCTTTCCCCTCTTCTCTGCAGCCTCCTTGGTAGGGGTCCTCACCCTCAGAGCCTCTTCTGGACTTCAGCAAACCAACTTCTCCTCTGCCTTCTCTTTGGACCCAACGAGCTCTTCCCAGGGGCTGGGTGCAGAAGTTCCCTCCATCAAACCTCCCAGCTGGAAATTTCCAGATCAGTCCCTGGATTCAAAAGGCTCTGCTGGAATCTCTGATTCCAGCCGGTTTCCTGAGGCCCTGAGTTCCAACAACATGTCTGGGTCCTTCTGGTCAAATGTTTCTGCTGAGGGCCAACATTTGAGCCCGGTTTCCTCCTCTGAAACCCCTGGTTCTGAAGTATTTCCTGATATTTTGGAACCACAAGTTCCTGCCAAAGACCCCAAGCCTTCCTTCTCTGTTAAGACCCCAGCTTCAAACATTTCTACTCAAGTCTCCAACACCAAACTCTCTGTTAAGGCCCCAGATTCGAAATTCTCCCCTGATGACATGGATCTTCAACTTTCTGCCCAGAGCCCTGAATCCGAATTTTCTGCAGAGACCCACTTAGCTGCAAGCTTCCCCCAGCAGCTGGGGGGCCCACTGGCTGTGCTGGTGGGAACTACCATCCGGCTCCCCCTGGTCCCAGTCCCCAGCCCTGGGCCCCCCACCCCTCTGGTGGTCTGGCGCCGGGGCTCTAAGGTGCTGGCAACTGGAGGCCTGGGGCCAGGGGCACCTCTGATCAGCCTGGATCCTGCTCACCGAGACCGCCTGCGATTTGACCAGGCCCGGGGGGTTCTGGAGCTCGCCTCTGCCCAGCTGGACGATGCAGGGGTCTACACAGCTGAGGTCATCCGGGCAGGGGTCTCCCGGCAGACTCGCGAGTTCACGGTGGGTGTGTATGGTAAGTGGGCCCTGGCGGCCGGAGTGCAGGCGGCAGGGGCTGGTCTGCTCTGCCAGGCTTTGGGCAAGTCACGGTGCTGTGGGGTCCCTGGATGGCAGAAGAGGGCTTCTGGGTTGAGGAAGGGAGGAAAAGAGCTAGAGGTCAAGGCAGGGGTGTTTGAGCAACGTTGGACTTGGGATGGAGACTCCGGGGGGCCTGGACTCCCAGGTCTGAGGGAGGAGGAGGAGGCTGGGAGCCTCTTCTGTCGAACTCCTGGGTCCCGGAGAGGAGGGGTCTGGGGGCTCAAACTCATGGGTTTATGAGAGGAGAGGGGTGCGGGCCGGGACTCCAGGGGCTTAGAGGGAGCAGCGGCTGGGGCTCCCTCTAAGGGGACCAAAGATGGGCTCCAGGACTGTGTCCTGAGCCCGTTCTCCCTCTCCCAGAGCCCCTACCCCAGCTGTCGGTTCAGCCCAAGGCTCCAGAGACAGAGGAGGGGGCGGCCGAGCTCCGGCTGCGCTGCCTGGGGTGGGGACCTGGTCGCGGGGAGCTGAGCTGGAGCAGGGACGGACGCGCCCTGGAGGCGTCGGAATCCGAGGGAGCCGAGCCGCCCCGGATCCGCTCAGAGGGCGACCAGCTGCTCATCGTGCGCCCTGTGCGCAGCGACCACGCCCGGTACACTTGCCGCGTCCGCAGCCCCTTCGGCCGCAGGGAGGCTGCCGCCGACGTCACCGTCTTCTGTGAGTGTGGGGGTACCTCGGGACGGGGACAGGGGGTCCTTGGGGAGAAGGGGGCTGGGGAACCAGTCTCCGGGAGTCCTAGCGGGGTCCCAGGTGACCCTGACACTCGCAGTCCCGACCCCTCCTCCCTCCAGACGGCCCGGACCCGCCGATCATCACGGTCTCCTCGGACCGCGACGCCACGCCTGTCCGCTTTGTCACCGCGGGCAGCAATGTGACCTTGCGCTGCGCTGCCGCCTCGCGGCCGCCCGCCGACATCGCGTGGAGCCTGGCGGACCCGGCCGAGGCCGCGGTGCCCGCGGGTCCGCGCCTCCTGCTGCCCGCGGTCGGGCCGGGCCACGCAGGCACCTACGCCTGCCTGGCAGCGAACCCGCGCACCAGCCGCCGCCGCCGCTCGCTGCTCAACCTCACTGTGGCGGGTGAGAGGCCGGGGCGGGAGTGGGGAAATGCCTGGGAGAGGGGCGGGGCCAGAACAGGGGCGGGACTAGATGAAAGGGGCGGGGCCAGCAAGGAGGCGCAGCATACCGGTGGGTGGAGCAGGGCCAGCGGGAGGGCGGGGTCACCAAGAAGGAGCCGGGATACCTGTGGTGGGCGGGGCCAGCGAGGAGGGGCGGAGATACCTAGGGTAAGGGGCGGGGCCAGGGAGGAGGAGCACGATACCGGAGGGGGGCGGGGCCAGCGGGAAAGCTGGATCACCAAGAAGGAGCTGGTATACCCGTGGTGGGGCGGGGCCAGCGCGGAGGGGCTGGGATACCTAGGATAAGAGGCGGAGCCAGAAAGAGGACAAGGGAAGGAGCCAAATGGAGTGGTAGGGCTGACCAGGACTGACGAGCCGGCCCAGCACTGAGAAGGCGGACATTCCGGGGCATGGTACACTCTCAACAAAGTCGACAGCGGAGTTAAATGGCAAAGAGTGGGAGTTAGAAAGGGAAAGAACTAAGTTGCTTGGGCGGGTAAGTGGGATCAGCAAACGGAGAAGGTACCTGGGAAGGGGGTGGAGTCACCAGGAAAAGGGGAGAGGTCATTTGGAAAGCGGGCAGAATTATCTTAGAAAGGGGATGGGGTCCTCAAGGAAGAGCGGAGATATCTGGGAAAAGGGGAGGCTTCTCGGAGGGCAATCCAGGAGGGGGCGAAGTAACCTGGCAGAAGTGGTGGAGCTGGAAAGGAAGGGGATGAGTTACGTTTGGGAAGAGAAATATCATTGTGTGAAGATGCAGTTTTCTTAAGAAAGCTGGGCAGTCATCAGGGCTGCCGGCTACCCACTTAGCGGGGAAGTTGGGAACGGGATCTCAGGAAAAGTGGGGAGTGTGAGCGCCTATGGGGCGGGGCTAGGGAAGAAGAGAGTTACTGCGCAGAGAGGCGGGGCTGGAGAAGAAATGAGAGAGGGACTATGTCTTCATTCTCTGCCTTCTCTCCGCAGACCTGCCCCCCGGGGCTCCACAGTGCTCAGTTGAAGGGGGTCCCGGGGACCGCAGCCTCCGCTTCCGCTGCTCGTGGCCCGGCGGGGTCCCTGCCGCCTCCCTGCAGTTCCAGGGTCTCCCCGAAGGCATCCGCGCGGGGCCAGTGTCCTCTGTGCTGCTGGCTGCCGTCCCCGCCCACCCCCGGCTCAGCGGCGTCCCCATCACCTGCCTTGCTCGCCACCTGGTGGCCACGCGTACCTGCATAGTCACGCCGGGTGAGACGGCGCGGGGCTTTTTTGCTGTTTCTCAGGAGGAGGGAGACTTTTTCTTTGGTCCTTCGAGAATTCTGAAGGGGTTTGGGGTACGTCCTTAGTCCAAGAAAGAGGCAGGACTTCACTGTCTTCAAACGAGAAAAGGGACAAAGATTTCCCTATACCTCATGGTGAGGGCGTGCAGGGATGGGGGTATTTTTTGGACACAGGAAGAAGGCCATCACTTTCCCACGTGTTCAGTGAGATAAAGCAGTGATGTTTTAAAGAGTAACGAGGTCGGGCGCAGTAATCGCAGCACTTTGGTAGTTGGGCGTGGAAGGATTGCTTGGGCCTAGAAGTTCAAGACCAGCCTGGGCAGTGTGGCAAGACCCAGTCTTACAATTATTATTGCTACATAATAATAATTATTATTATTCTAATAAAGAAGAATGAATAGCTGAGAATAATATGAGTTTCCCAGTACAGGGCCTGCTCCTATGGTGTGTGTTCAATAAGTGTTTGATGAGGAAATCAGATAATAAATGAATGAATGAATGAATGAATGAATGAGCGAATGAGTGAGTAAACTGGCAGTTCTTTCCCAGGTGGCCAAAGCGCTGGGGCTTACCACCATCTGATTTAAAGTAGGGCATAGGACCTGTTCTTTGAATCCAAGGTAAGGTCTCGACTTTCTTAACTGGGCTTCTCCCACCTGCAGAGGCCCCCCGAGAGGTGCTGCTGCATCCGCTGGTGGCAGAGACACGGTTGGGGGAGGCAGAGGTGGCACTGGAGGCCTCTGGTTGTCCCCCACCCTCACGGGCATCCTGGGCCCGGGAAGGGCGGCCCCTGGCTCCAGGAGGCGGGAGTCGCCTGCGGCTCAGTCAAGATGGGCGGAAGCTCCACATCGGCAACTTCAGCCTGGATTGGGACCTGGGAAATTACTCCGTGCTGTGCAGTGGGGCGTTGGGAGCTGGCGGTGACCAGATCACTCTCATTGGTGAGCCACATTATTTCAGAAAGCCCGGAAGTCCAGGCCCCCAGCCCCTCCAGCCCTCAGATCCGGAAGTTCAGGCCCCAGACCTCTCCTTCCTCAGACCTAGGATCCAGGCCCCCAGCCCCTCCTCCCTGGAGTCCAGACCCCAGCCCCTCCTCCCTCAGACCCAGGAGTCCAGGCCCCCGGCCCCTCCTCCCTCAGACCCAGGAGTCCAGACCCCAGCCCCTCCTCCCTCAGACCCAGGAGTCCAGACCCAGCCCCTCCTCCCTCAGACCCAGGAGTCCAGACCCCAGCCCCTCCTCCCTCAGACCCAGGAGTCCAGGCCCCCGGCCCCTCCTCCCTCAGACCCAGGAGTCCAGGCCCCCGGCGTCCCTCCTCCCTCAGACCCAGGAGTCCAGACCCCAGCCCCTCCTCCCTCAGACCCAGGAGTCCAGGCCCCCGGCCCCTCCTCCCTCAGACCCAGGAGTCCAGGCCCCCGGCCCCTCCTCCCTCAGACCCAGGAGTCCAGACCCAGCCCCTCCTGCTTCAGACCCTGGAGTCCAGGCCCAGCCCCTCCTCCCTCAGACCCAAGGGTCCAGCCCCAGCCCCTCTTCCCTCAGACCCAGGAGTCCAGGTCCAGCACCCCCTGATTCAGACCCTGGAGTCCAGACCCAGCCCCTCCTCCCTCAGACCCAGGAGTCCAGGTCACCAGTCCCTGCTCCCTCAGACCCAGGAGTCCAGGCCCCAGCCCCTCCTCCCTCAGACCCAAGGGTCCAGCCCCAGCCCCTCTTCCCTCAGACCCATGAGTCCAGGTCACCAGCCACTTCCACCCTCAGATCCAGGAGTCCAGGCCCCCAGCCCCCTCCTCCCTCAGACCCAGGAGCCCAGTCCCCTAGCCCCCTTCCCTCTCCCCTCTGGCACCCAAGAATCCAGCCTCTCCTACATCCCTCTAGGACCCTCCATATCCTCGTGGAGGCTTCAGAGAGCCAGAGATGCAGCCGTGCTGACTTGGGATGTGGAGCGCGGGGCCCTAATCAGCAGTTTTGAGATCCAGGCATGGCCAGATGGGCCTGATCTGGGCAGGACTTCCACCTACAAGGACTGGGTCTCCCTGCTCATCCTGGGGCCTCAGGAGCGGTCAGCTGTGGTGCCCCTTCCACCTCGGAACCCAGGGATCTGGACCTTTCGGATCCTGCCCATCCTGGGGGGCCAGCCAGGGACTCCATCACAAAGCCGGGTCTACCAGGCCGGTGAGTTGGGGCTGTCCGAGTAGACCTTCTCAGTCTGTTGTGCCAGATCCTCCCTCTCTCCCTGTTTTAGTGTCCTGGGACCTGCCCTAACAAAGTACCATGAACTGCATGGTTTGAAACAACAGGAATTTCTTCTCTCACAGATCTGGAGGTCAGAAGTCTAAAATCAAGGTGTTGAGACGGTCCTACTCCCTCCGGGACCCTGTGTAGAGTCCTCCTTTGTCTCTTCCTAGCTCCTGGTGGCGGCTGTTTCATCCTTGGCTTGCAGCTGTGTCACTCCAACCTCTGCCTCTGTGTGTCTCTGTCCTCTTCTTCTTCTTCTTCTTCTTTTTTTTTTTGAGACGGAGTTTCGCTCTTGTTGCCCAGGCTGGAGTGCAATGGTATGATCTCAGCTCGCTACAACCTCCACCTCCCGGATTCAAGTGATTCTCCTGCCTCAGCCTCCTGGGTAGCTAGGATTACAGGCATGTGCCACGACGCCCAGCTAATTTTTGTATTATTAGTAGAGATGGGTTTCACCACATTGGTCAGGCTGGCCTCAAACTCCCGACCTCAGGTGACCCACACACCTTGGCCTCCCAAAGTGCTAGGATTAGAGGCGTGAGCCACGGCACCTGGCTTCTGTCCTCTTCTTTTAAGGACACCAGTTATATTGGATTAGGGTTCACCCTAATGACCTCATATTGACTTGGTTACATCTTCAGAGAACTTATTCCAAAATAAAGGTCATACTCACAGGAACAGGGGCTAGGACTTCAATATATGTTTTTCTTTTGGGGTGGGCACAATTCAGTTGATAACATTCTTCCATTGGAGTGTCTCAGGATTTAGTCCTCACTCCCCAAAGTGATCATGTTCACGCTCATGGCCTTCAATAACATTAATACTCAGATGACTCCCAAATGTCCTATCCTGGACCCTGACTTCTCTCTTAAAAAGGATGCTCCCTACTTAAGATCTTCATTTTTTTTTGGCGGGGTGGGGTGGTGGGACAGAGTAGAGCACAGTGGCATGATCTCAGCTCACTGGAATCTCCACCTCCTGGGTTCAAGTGATTCTCCTACCTCAGCATCCCAAGTAGCTGGGATTACAGGTGTGAGCCACCATGCCCAGCTAACTTTTTTTGAATTTTTAGTAGAGACAGGGTTTTGCCATGTTGGCCAGGCTGGTCTTGAGCTCCTGACCTCAAGCGATCTGCCTGCCTCGGTCTCCCAACGTGCTGGGATTACAGGTGTGAGCCACTGAGCCCAGCCAAGATCTTCACTTTGGATGTCCAATTAGCATCCCAAATGTCATATGCCCAAAACAGATCTTCTGATGTTTTCCCTCAAAACTGCATCCCCGAACCCTCCAGTCTTCCCCATACTCATAAATGTCACTACTTATAGGCCGCATCACCCCTGACATCCTAATTGCCAGCAAGTTCGGTCCATTTTCCGTCTAAAATATTTTCCGTCTTCACCCCAAGGCTCTGGTCAAACACAGCATCCTTTCTTGCCTGGACTGCAACAGCTGTTTATTTGGTATCTTTATACTCCCTCTTGCTCTCAGATAATGCATTCTCCATGTAGAAGCCAGAGTTATGCAAATCAGATCATGAGGCTGCCCTACATAAAAGCCTTCCATTAATTTCTGCGGGACCCCTTTAGGATCTGGTTCTTGGAAACCTTTTCTACTTTACCCTCCACCTCCAGCTCTCTCCTTCCATATCCTCCACCCACGCTGGCCTTTGTTGAACAGAGAAAACTCTTTCCTAGTTCTGGACCTTTGCATTTTCTGTTCCCTCCTCTTGGAATACCCTTTCCCGGGTTTAGTATGACTGCCTCTGGTCTTTATTCTTCAAGTCTCTGTTCAAATGTTACTTCCTCAGGGACCTTAGCTCACCACTGTTTCTAAATGTCACATCCCTTCCCATTATTCCTTTTTTGTTTTTTCTTTGTTTGTTTTCTTTTTTTGAGACAAGGCCTCACTTTGTTGCCCAGGCTGGAGTACAGTGGCACGATCTGGGCTCACTGCAGCCTCAACCTCCCCAGACTCAGGTGATCTTCTTACCTCAGTCTTCTGAGTAGCTGGGGCTACAGGCCCAGCCACCGCACCTGACTGGTTTTTCTATGTTTTGTAGAGACAGGGTCTCGCCATGTTGGCCAGGCTGGTCTCCAACTCCTGGACTCAAGTGATTGCCCACCTTGACCTCCCAAGGTGTTGGGAATCACAGGTGTGAGCCACCACACCTGACCCTCATTATCTCTATCACATAACTTTTTCTTTCTCGGGACAATCTGTGATTATGTTATGTACTGCTCATTTATTTCTGACTTCTCTCCTAGAATTAAGCCCACAAGGGTAGGTATCTTTCCTGTTTGGCCCACCAGCGAATCCTCACTACCTGTCCGAGAGCCAGGCACACCGTAGTAACTGTTAAATGAGTTGAGAGTGCTGGGGTCCCACATTCCTGGGTTCTGGGAGGGGAGGGACAGTGGGGGCTGGACTCCTGGGTCCCAGCACAAAGTTAGGGGGCTTAGGAAACTTGGGTCCAACCTTAGTTCCTGTTCCCCTTCTCTTTCTTCTCTTTGTCTCTTCCAGGCCCCACGTTGAGCCACGGGGCCATCGCAGGCATCGTCCTGGGCTCCCTACTGGGCCTGGCGCTGCTAGCCGTCCTTCTCCTCCTTTGCATCTGCTGCCTGTGCCGCTTTCGTGGTGAGCAAGGGGACTGGGGAAGGGGCAAACATGGCCAAGTGGGAGGGACCCTAGAAAGAAGCCGGTGGAAGACCTGACTGAGCCAATGAGCACCATCATAGGTCATCCATCCTGCCAATCAGCATAAGGCTCCGCCTCTCAGACCAGCTTCCCTTGCTATTGGCTGGGTTGGCATGTTGGGGCAACTAATCAGGTGTTCCTGCTTCTCTTCCTCCTCTCAATCAGGAAAGACTCCTGAGAAAAAGAAGCATCCTTCTACCTTGGTCCCCGTGGACACCCCCTCAGAAAAGAAGATGCACAGTGTGACCCCAGTGGAGATTTCATGGCCTCTGGACCTCAAAGTCCCGCTGGAGGACCACAGCTCAACTAGGGCCTACCAAGTGAGTGTGGGTGCCCTCTTTTCCTCCTGGAATTGGGGCGGAACTTCTTGTATTATAGTCAGGGAGATGAGAGGGTCTCCATTATCTAACTCCAGTTTTACTTGTTAGTTTACAGTCTGTATAACTTCATCCTTTTTAAAAATGCATCAAAGTTGGACAGAGCTTCCCGCCTAACTTTGATGTATATTAAAATTAGAGTGAAAGAGTGAATTCCAGTTTCTCTTACAAAGGAGGATGAGATAGGATCTTTCTTTCTTTTTGAGACAGAGTCTCACTCTGTTGTCTAGGCTGGAGTGCAGTGGCGCCATCTCGACTCACTGCAGCCTCCGCCTCCTGGGTTCAAGAGATTTTCCTGCCTCAGCCACCTGAGTAGCTGGGATTACAGGCACAAGCCACCATGCCTGACTAATTTTTGTATTTTTAGTAGAGACAGGGTTTCACCATGTTAGGCAGGCTGGTCCCAAACTCCTGACCTCAAGTGATCCGCCCACCTCAGCCTCCCAAAGTCCTGGGATTACAGGCATGAGCCACTATGCCTGGCCCCTCCTTTTTTCTTTTCCATAAAAGTTAGGCAAGACCCATTTTTCTCTATGAAGTGGGGTGGAGTTTCCTCGTTTCCCCATAAAAGAGGGGTTGTTGTGACCGGGCGTGGTAGCTCATGCCTGTAATCCCAGCACTTCGGGACATTGAGGAGAAAAAATCGCCTGAGCCCAGGAGTTCGATACCAGCTTGGGCAACATAGGGATACCCCATCTCTACAAAAATTTTTAAAATTAGTCTGGCATAGTGGCATGTGCCTGTAGTTCCAGCTACTAGGGAGGCTGAAGTGGGAGGATTGCTTGGGCCTGGGAGGTCAAGGCTTCAGTGAGCTCTAGCCTGGATGCACTCCAGCCTGCAGTCCAGCCTGGATGACAGCGCGAGACCCGGTTTAAAAAAAAAACAAAACTGGGTTGGGTTGTTGGCTGTCTTCACTCCACCGATAGCCAGACATTTTTTTTTTCCCCTCTCCAAATGGAGGGTTCCCAGATAATCTCTAAAAAGTTCAAGCAAGAGCTGGAAAAAGTTCGGTGGGTGAGTCATGTTACATCCAGGGTACTAGTGAGTTCTCCCCGCACCCCACCTCTCTCTTCCAGGCCACAGACCCCAGTCCAGTCGTCTCTGTAGACGAAAGCTCAAAGACTGTTCGGACAGCCACACAGGTGTGATCAGAGCCAGTGGCCTGCCCTGCACAGGGCATTTTGGGCCAGAACTTCCTATTTCACTCCAGCAGCAGGCAGGGCCTGCTATGACTGAGGGTTGGACCCCGAAAGTGGGACTTTCTGTCTCCCTCTCTTGCTGCAGAAGAAGAGCCTTCCTGTATTTGTGCGAGTAAGGAGATGTGACTGCTTGGCTGGGAAACTCCTGCTGATAGAACTGTGTGGTTTGCACAGCCTCCAAGCCTCTGCAGCAGACAGGCAGGGCTTGCTGTGTTGCTCTGAGCTAGAGAGGGAGCCTGGCCATGCTCTCTGAAAAGGTCCCCCTACATTCACTTTGCCACCTGTAGGCCACACCCCATCCAGCTCCCAGCATCTTCATCTTCAAACAGATCAGATCATGTCCCTCTTCTCTTTAAACCCTTCTAGGGCCTGTGCATTTCCCTTCAGATATTATCCAGACTCCTCGTCGTGACCTTCAGAAACCTTGTGGTCTGGCCTCTGTTGGCCTCCCTGACCTCCCCTCCCAATTGTTTCTCTGCCCCCTGACTCCAGTATCACAGGCTGTCTCTCAGCCACAATTTATTTTGCCCCTAGAGTTTGCTCTGCTGGTAGCACTTCTTTTTCCCGTATGTCATTCATTTCTCAAGTCTAAGAGTAACAATTGCCATCTTAGACAACCATTCCCCTACCCCTCCCTTAGTCTTGGGTTAAGTCCCAGAATCCTTGAATTTGCCGTTTCTGATACATAAATATGTAATTACTTGTGTGGCCTGAGACTCTCTGTCTAAACTAAGGGCTTTACGAAAGCAGAGACCACATCATTATCTCAGCACTTAACCCAGAGCCTGGCACGCAGCAGGCAATCAATAAATACTTGTTGACTGATCCGATGTTTTGGTGCCGGTGAAGAGCTGGGCTTGCCGCTGCTGTCTTCAGCATAAGTCTTGCTTTTTCAGCTGGGTTTCTAATTGAGAATTTAGAGAGTGCATTGGTGAGGATTCTTTTGACTGCAAGTAACAAAATAAAATGGTGGCAGGAAATATGAAGGTGGCTGGTTTCAGGCTGGCTTAGCAGCTCAGTGATGCCATTGAAACATGGGCCCTTTGCATCCATCTGCTGTGCCACCCTCAGTGGGTTGGCACATTGACACTAAGCATGTTGCCTCATGTAGCAAGATGGTTGCTGCAGCTCCAGTCATCGTGTCTTCATACAACTGTATCCAAAGATAAAAGGAAGGGGACAGAACTTCCTCTCTATACATCTTCCCCACCCCCTACCTCCCTCTATCACTGCCTTCTTCCCTCTCATGGGGTGGGAGGGAACCTTTCCTGGAAACCTACAAGCAAATTTCCATTTATGTCTCTTTGGCCCAAACTGGCCACTTAGTTGCAAAGGAGGCTGAGAAACCAAATACCTAGCCTGTATCATAACAGGTAGATCTTCCAGCAAAGAAGAAAGGGGAACCAAACAAATGTGGGTAACCAGCATCTGTCTCAGGGAAGGAAAGCATGTGAGAGAACTTCTGGTTCATGATGGGGGGTAGAAAAGGCCACTGGAAAATAGAACCCCTGGATCCTTTTGGAAAGGTGAGGGTTGGGGTTCTGGGCCCTCTATGTCTTTTCTGTATCAGGGTTTGCGTTCTTTTTTATTACTAGAGATAGAAAATCCAATGCAAATTGGTTTAAATATACAGGCGACTTTATTGCTTATACAAGTGAAGATGGGCATCAGTTAAGTTTTGATCCAGCTTCTCAAATGATATCATCATGGACTCAGTTTCTCTAAGGTTTCCACTCTGCACTTCACAGTGTTCCTATCATTCTCAGGCTCCATATGCAGCCCTCCCCACCACTGCTATCCCCACAGACCCAAGATCTCTCCATGTGATGGAGAAAAGCAACCCTACAGATGTAGACCTCACATCACGGAGCCACAATATCCAGCAGAAAAGCATCTCTTCTTGGGAATCCATTCACTCTCTCATTAGCCTTACCAGGTCACGTGCCCATCTCCAAGCCAATCACGAAGTGGGCTATGCTGAGTGGCTTAGGCCAATCACAGGGCACCTCTGTAATGAGTCCATTCCAAGTCTACCAATGAGAAAGCAGGTGGTAGGAATGATGCTGGAGAGGCACCACCAGTTGATTGCTACCCTTTGCCCTTCATTAACTCGAATTCTTAATGACATTGACACCTGCAGGCAGACTTTGGAAAAAGGCGTTTATTGGTGCGGTGGTCTCAACACTCCCCATGAATTGGAACACACGGCCCCCAGGGCCCCCCACCCCCTCCCTGGTATCCCTCCCCCGTCCCACCCCATCCCCTGGACCCTGGGAATGGAAGACAATGTGGGATGGGGCCCATGCCCCCGTCTGAGGTACAGTCACTGCGCCTTGCCCTCTCCTCTTCTCCACCAGACTCTGGGTGGTGTGGTTTGGGGTGGGTGTTTATAGAGAGGGTCTCCTGGGAGTCGGAATTGGTGACATGGCATCTTTGTCTGGGCTCAGGATGTCTGTGTGATGCCTCTCTGTCCCCCACTTTGTGTGGTGTGGTGTACCAGGGTGGAGCATTCCTGCAATCAGAGCTGAGGCTGCAGCCTCTCAGCGTCCCTTCCTGACAACAGATGCCTACCCAGGGGGAAATACAGCTAGTCACCAGCTACAGGACAGCTGCAGCCAGGGGGCTATTGCTGGTCACAGTCGCTGGTGTGTGTGTGTGTGTGTGTGTGTGTGTGTGTGTGTGTGTGTGGTGTGTCTGAGTGTGTGAGGGCGGTCAGGTAGCCTTTGGGAGGTACAGTTGGTGGAGAGGCCAGGAAGTGATAGACCAGCAAGCCTACACCTGTGGGCCAGCTGCAAAGGCCCCAAGGGCAGCTGTCTGGTGCCACAGGTGGGGAAATCAAGGCCAAGGGGAGTGGTGGTGGGGGTAGGGCAAAGCACTGAAACAGACAAGTGACTCCTGCCACCAGTCTGACAGTTGGATGGAAGCACCGATTGGCCCAGGAGGGGGCCAGAAAATCCAAGGTAGGGAGGGACAGGAAAAGTGGGAAGGTCTCAGGCCACTGAGCCAGCGATGGGGCCTCTGGCTACAGGAAGCTGGTGGTTGACGGCAGGGAAGCCCAGAGCCCAGATGGAGGTCCCCCACTTACTCACAAAGGCTGAATGACAGCTTGACAGGTGAGTGCGACACCCCTCTCCACTCCCAACCTGCCAGGAGTTGCCCTTTCGACAGGGGGAGGGGTCAGTGTGCGTGCATATATTGGGGAAGCAGGGAGCCTGGTAAGCCGCTCTTCACAGCTTCCACTGCAGAGCCTCATACCTACCTCCAGTCAGAGGTGAGAGGCAGTAGGGTTGGGGACAGTGGACATGGGGGTTTCGGGGCGGGGAGGACGGCTGAGTCCCCTCCCCCAGCCCACCCACCCACCCACACAGAGACACAGACACCTACACACGCATGCAGGCTCACACTCACACACCCACACCCACACGAGCCAGTTGACAGCCTGAGCTAAGAGAGAGGGGTATGGGGTGGCGGGAGTGGGTCACAATCGGAAACGTGAACGGGTGGCGAGAATGGCTGTAGAAAGATGCATAATTTTGCGTTATCCCTCACAGTGATGGGTTCTCTAAAGATCTTTCTTCCTCTGCCTCCTCCTCTTTCTCCTCTTCTCTTCTTCCTTGGTGGCCGAGAGCTCTTCTGCCCCCACGAGACCCACGGCTCTTGCTCCCCCTTTTCTCTCACTCTTGGCCTGAGGCCCCCTGCAGGGGGAGGCGAGCTCCACTGGGTTGCGCCTACATTCTCCACCACAGCCAGCCCAGGGCGGAGAGGAGGGCCAGGGGCCCTGGGGGCCTTGGGGCTGAGTTCTCCAGGGATCCTGGGCCTGGGGGAAGAGAAGGGGTCATGAAGGGAGGGCTGAGAGTGGGGGACCCCATGTGTGTCCCTCCAGAAGCCCTGTCTCTTCTGAGCCCACCTCTTTAGGGACCTTTCTGGATCTCTCATTGGGTGTGCCTGCTTGCCTGCTTTTCTGACTCTGTTTTTTTGGTTTTTTTTTTTTGAGACGGAGTCTCGCTGTCACCCAGGCGCAATCTCGGCTCACCGTAACCTCTGCCCCCCTCCGGGTTCAAGCAATCCTCTTGCCTCAGCATCCTGACCTGAATAGCTAGGACTACAGGTGCCCATCACTACGCCTGGCTAATTCTTGTATTATTATTTTTCTTTTTTTTTAGTAGAGACAGGGTTTCACCACGTTGGCCAGGCTGGTCTCGAATTCCTGACTTCAGGTGATCCGCCCGCCTCAGCCTCCCAAAGTGCTGGGATTTACAGGCGTGAGCCACCGCGCCCGGCCTCCAAAATTATTTTTTGTTTGTATGTGTTTGCTTGTTTATCTACATGTCCACTTGTTTTTTGCTTTTCTACTCCTACCAGACTATAAGCTCTGGGAATCCCCAAACCTTGTTTCTTTTGTGCACAGCTATGTCCCCCACGCCCAACCCTTAGCTGGCGCTCTATGAATATTGATTGCATGAATCGGTTTCTTGCATTGCTTTTCAGTCTAAGCGTCCGTCTCCGAAGTTCAGGGCCAGCCTAGGGGGCGGTCCCGGCGTCTCCACCTCCCTAGCCCCGCCCCTGCCCCGCCCACGTGCCCCGCCCCGCCCCGCCCAGCCCGAAGACGCACGCAGGAGCCGCATGGAGGCGCTGGACGCTCCCAGCCGGTTGGCGGCGCGACACGTGTAGTTGCCGTAATGCCGGGCGCTCACATTGGCAAAGAGAAGCATCGAGCGGGTGCGCTCCGTCTGCACTTTCAGGCCCTCCGCCGTGCCGCTGCTCAGCCTGCCAGGGATCTGGGTAAGGGGCTGGGCCGCAGCGCCCAGCCAGGCCCGCCCGCCGACTCTCAGGCGCCTCAGTTCCCCGGAGACCCAACATTCTGCCCCCTACCCCACTGACCCATCGCCTGGGGTTCTAGCACCTCATGGACCCCGGGTCACTCCCACCGCCGCCCTTCTCCAGGCACCCTGGCCTCTCAGGGACCCTGGACTCCCCCGTGGTGCACCCCTAGTCGTTAGGGACTCCCTCTGCTGGTCCCCTAAACCTTGCCCGAGAGATCCTCAGCATTGACCCCCGACCCCTGGCCAGCTCCCTGAAAAGTCCAGGGAGACGGGGCTCCAGCGTTCATCATCCTGGGGCCCAAGCTTGTTTCCGGAGGCTGGACAGATCCCTTGACCCAGAAGCTGGACGCCCCAGTTCCGGGACCCAGAGCTCTGCTGCCTTCCCCCGCCCGGCTCCGTCCCCCTGCCTCACAATCCAAGGGACCAAGGACCTCCCCGTCCCGCTCCCACGGCCCCCCTCAGTGCTGTCCTCACAGTCTGTCATCCTTGTACCACTGGAAATCCGCGGGGGGCACCGCCATGGCTTCGCAGCGCAGCAGGGCGGCTCGGCCCAGCGCGGTGCGGGCGCTGGTCACGTCCGTGATGGTCGGAGGATCTGGCGAGGGGCGAGGGTCAGCGAATTCTCCAAGCCGCGTGGGGACGAAGGGGTCCCTCCCCCAGCCCCCGCCTCCCTTAGGCCCGGAAGTCTCGCCCCCCGCTTCCTCCTCCCGCAGACCCTTCCTCCCCAGGGACTCGGGGTCCGCCACCCTTTCGTGCCCAGTGCCAGGGGGGCTCACAGTTGACTGTGACCAGCACGCGGCGGCTGTCGGGCGCCGAGTTAACCCCGTTGTGAGTCACGCACTCATACTCCCCTGCCTGGCCCCGCTGGATGTCGGAGATCTCCAGGATCTCTCCCTCCGAGGTGAAGCCATCTGTGGGGGGAAGGAGGAGGAGGGGGCGGGGCCGGACACAAACACTTAACACGGGACAACACGGGCACAACACGGACACACATCAGCGGGGCGGGCACGGCAAGGCCTGGAGTGCCCGGGTCAATGGGGGTGGGGTGGGGAGGGGCTGCGGGGCCGGGGGTGCCTGGGATCTCTCCAGCTCAGGGTTGGGGAAGGAGTGAGGGTCTAGGACTCAGTTCCTGGAACCCAATGGGGTGGGTTA